CATTTAAAGATACTTCTACATGAAAAATGTTAAAATGGTCAATAATTTGTCAAAAATCCTAATAAAGTTTAGGTGGAAAAAGAAAGCAAATAAGTCAATTTAGATCCGTCATTTGTTTCATGATACAAGTGTTTTGATTATTACCACTAGATCAAGTTAACTTTTAGTAATCAAATAATTCCAATATAAATATGCAATACTCAAATGCATACAGCTCTATAAAATCCTAATAACAAAAATGACAAATTTTACTTGAATTAAACCTATTACACTCATAAAACTTAACCTGCACTTGTCTTGTTTTAGTGTTTTCTTTCAATTGCACCATGAATCCAAGCTCATCTGTTGGAAGTGAAAAAGGCACAATTATTTAGCTTGATTGTTCTTATTATTTTTGGCACATTTTGGGTTAGACTTATTATTGTGTGGTAGTCATGAATGTCAGTTAATGACATTTTGTAAATCGTTCAGTGTTGTTTATCAAGATGTTGTGACAATTTTACGTCCATTATGTGCTGATGGCCTTTTCTGATTTAGCTAATGTAGAAATTCAAATGCGACTTCGCTTAAAGTAAAAAAAAAAMACTTTGAAGACAGTTAAAGTAAAAAAAGTACAGTAAATATGAGTATTGTTCTCTTAGAATCACCTGAAGGAGCTGCTTACAGACAATCTTCTTTGTTCTCTCTTCAGATGGCACTTTATAGTCATGTAAAATGTAACAGGGGTAATATAAAAGTTAACAGCTCACCTTTTACACTTTTATGCAGTTATATTTAGAAGAAAAACAAGATAAAGAGAAATCCTGCATGTCTACAGTGGCCAAGCACTTCAAGTATTGATCAGWTGTTGGCAAGTGAAGAGCTAAAAAAGAAACAACTGCACAACAAGTGCATCCCCCTGTGCAGGAATTATCTCAAACTCTCCCTGCACCAACATATTATTCATTAAAACGTAAAAAAATGTAATAAAAAATAACAGTTTTACTRTAAAATCTAACTGGTAGTTTATGTAAAGAACAATACCATCAATTATTTTTACCCTCTTTTTTCCTTTCAGGATTGTAAGGGTTGCTGGCGCTCATGTCCAACTGTCGCTGTGCAAGAGATGGGGTACACCCTGAACAGGTTGTTATGCAAACGCCCTTAAAGTAATTGGATTGTTTGTACTTGTAGATAAATGTGCCACAAAATTAAACTTTCTTTTTTTCAGTGTTTCATCTCACCTCTCATAATTTCACCAGTAATGCATCAAATCGTAATGTATTTTTTGAGCTGCTGCTGCATAGTTATCAAACCAACAAAGACATCAACACAACTAAACACCTTCATGGAAATGAGTGGTTGGTTAGATTTAGAGAAAAAAGCAGTTRTATGAAGCCAAGGAAGCCTTTTGTTCATTTTCACATTTGAAGGATGCAGTCTGAAGAACACCATGACAACTGTAACAAACTAAGAKTAGACATGCAGAGTTGTTTGTTATTTTTGCATGTAGTTAACATCTAAACACAACATGATGCTTCTGCATCAYAGCTGAGTTAAAGTGTTATTTGTATACATTTTTTTATTGGGCAGCTGTGGTGGARTGGTTAGGGGAGTCGTCTCGAACCGGTTTGATCCCCCGTCCAGTTGTCTCCGTCGTTGTGTCCTTGGGCAAGACACTTAACCCGGCTTGCCTACTGATGGTGGTCAGAGGGTCCGGTGGCGCCAGTGCATGGCAGCCCTGCCTCTGTCAGTGTGCCCCAGGGCAGCTGTGGCTGAAGCTTACCACCATCAGTGTGTGAATGTGTGTGAATGGGTGAATGGTTGAAGTGTAAAGCACTTTGGGGTCCATATGGACTTGATAAAGCGCTATATAAGTTCAAGCCATTTATTTACCATTTCACAGCTCATCTTCGATTGGAGGCAGGCGTACGCAAARCCATGTTAACATGGTGGTCGAAAAACATGCACAGAAACAATGGGTGCACATGTGCAAGACTATCAGTACAATACAATGGCAAATGACTTGGACTATACAGCATGGAAGGAGATTTCTCAAAATCAATAGGTTGTAAAACTGTGAACAATGTAGAGAAGTCAAACTGATCCTTCATCACTGTTTTCCATTTAACAATCCCTCTTGTCCTTTAAGGTTTTATCAGTATTCTGGAGATAAAGCGTCACATTATGCAGTGCCAACTACCCTGGCATTATCTTTGCCTGTGACAGATCGGCCTGCCTTTGTGCCTGCGACGGCACTCCATGCATTAACATTAAACAGCTTGGCTGGCCGTCTGCCTGTCTTCGTGTCCTCCAGGGACGCAAGGAGACTCGGCAGCCATGAAGGCAACTTAGAGAGCACCTGTCACTGTCGATGAGAAGTCAYGTGCAGCCCATAAAACCCTGCACCCCTGCTTTGCTTTATAACAGCACTTGAAAGAAATTAAAGAAATTAGGACATTCAGTAACACTCAGGTACTCACATAATTCGATGCCAAGTCTGGATGTAGATAGTCGATACCTGAAATGTGATTTCTAACATTAATCAGTGGCATAATGAAGCTTCAGAAAAAGTGCAGAACAAATGACATTTAACTTTTTCTGTTTTTCTCTGGATAACTGTGAAACCAAACCAAAATCTCTTTAATCATGTACAAAAGTTACTTAGCACAAGGATATGTGTTTGTTAGATTATTAATTTGTTGTAACAATGCTTCTTGGCAATAAATCTTATACTAGGCAGCACCTGGGTGCAGCAGAAGTTCAAAACAAGTGTCAATAGCAACTGCAAAATTAGCTGTTTGCCAATGACAGAGAAGATTTAGCAAATCTTTCTCGTGCACAACCCACATACTCAGCTCTACTGCTCATCCCACAAATTGCATGTTCCTTACAAATCTGGCACCATTTAAAAGGGAAATTAACAGACTTTTTAAAGGTATAAGATTTATTGCCAAGAAGCAACAATGTGCAACATAAAGCACCTCTTTTTGTACTGTTTATAAATAAATACCAGCTAATATGGAGTAGTGCTGGATTGAAAGATTCTTTTTATTACTGCAATGCAAACAAAGTCATAGATTTTCAATTCAGTGTTAGACATGACAAAAATTGTGTCACAAAAAATAGTGTTTTTTATTTATGATCGCAAAATGATTGTGTCTGATAACATATTGGAATTAGATGCATTTTCTAAAGTGTTTAATTCAGTGGTAGGAATGAAAGATGACCAAAATGACTCTGCATCTTGCCTTGGGACCAAAGGTCAATACTATCGTTTCTTATTCAGTCAAATTACAAATGTCATCTTGGATCACAGAAATGGCAAGAAAACATATACAGTACAGCTCAATGAGGAACACAATACTTGGAGTAATATCAAAGAGTTCAAGGCTTTGTTGTAAGCTAGCAAATGTTCTGAATAACATGATAGTTATTGAAGAAAATATGCACATCAGTGAATAGAGATGAAACATATTGCCTTGATTCTGCCTGCTGCAGCACCTCATGTTACAAACATGTTGAGCAAACACTTGAAAAAAAGCACATTTTATTGCGAACTACAAACATATAGAAAATGGTTGCAGTCCATTTTAATATTAAAACTTTATTTTGACTGGTGCACTCTAGGTTAAGTGGCTTAAACTGATTGCTGGTTTCCATTTGGGAAACATTTCCAATTTATTTTATTTTATTTTATTTTATTTTATTTTATTATTTTAGAGTCCAAGTACAGCTAATTGTAGGAGATCTAAGAACTATATTGCAAAGAAAAGTTCCTCATCTGCTTAGGCCTAAATCCATTATCTTCTATGTTTTGTATGAACACAGAAATAATATCAATCATACAAACAGACTTGGATCTGCTTCCTAATACTCTGAATGATAATATCATTGGTCAAAGTCTATGCGTTACTCATCAAAATGTAATCAGTAATTAATCAGTCAATGCATAATTAAATGCTTCAGACACATTTACTAAAAAAGCAGATTTCATTACTCACCGTCATCCATGATTGCGATGGTAACTCCTTTTCCTGTGTAACCTAGTTGCCAAGCTTCAGCCACATTTAGATCCAACCCCGGGGTCCCATCTGCTTGGCCTGTGTTTATCTAATCACACAGACAATATGAAGAACATTCATGACTCATGGCACCCAGGTGAGCCACCATTATGATATTAGTCCTGAGAGAGGTTAGGTGCATTAACAAGAAAAGAAAAAGGAAGTCATGCTCGGGGTTTGAGAAAGTGCAAGTCAAAAGACGGATGAATAAATGTCACTGACATGACACGTTCCTCTTGAATGAGATGAATAAAGGCAAGCTCGCTGCTGCATATAAAACATGCCATTTGGAGTAAACAAGCAGGGAGGACAATAGGCAGCAGGGAAGCAAAGATTACATGTCTTGGTATTGGCCAGGCTAATTTAAGAGTGAGTAACAACGTTGATTCAGAAAGTAGTGCTTAAAATGCCTGGATTCAAAGTAATTAACACAGGGAATGTGAGTTGGCACAAAAGGTCAGGCAGCATGCAGACAGCTAGTTGGCTGATTACTCACCAAATACCACTGCTTGGTGAATAGAGGGTCACTCATGTTGACTTCTATATCATTGATATTCCTGTAGCCTCGCTTCTGACGACTGAAACCTTCCTGTTCAAAGACATTCTTTACCTGGTGGAAAAAGGCAGACAAATGACATGTCGATGTCGGTTTAACACCAACCCTGATCTTAGAACATACTTTATGAGGGTTCAATTGAAATCACAATGGAGTCAATGCACACAGCGTCTGAGCTGAAAGAGTTAAAAAGCAACAACAGGATTGCTCCTGACTGTTTGAATGTTGTTGCTCTTTGAACTGGAAATCAAAAAACCCAGCTAGGTTCTTTTTTGAACACCCCCCCACCCAAAAAAATAATAATAAACTGCTTCATGTCAACCAAAGCATCGACTCTTTTTCCTCCTAATAGGAAGGTTTGCAGCTGGAGCCAAGGCTTCCAGACTCACCTGCCACAAAGCCACAGCCTCTTTTCTCTCCAGTCTGCCTAAAAGCCACAGCAATTACACCCACAAACACGTCTGTGTTTCCCCAAATTATCAAAGAAAGCAGGTGGTTGAACAGCTGTGTTTTGGATTGGAAACACTTTATGAATGCTGCCACAGTAWCGTTTTGAACAAAGAAAAATAACAGGACGGAGGATAAATGATGGGATGGATAACTTAAATTAAAATGACGTCTCAATTACAGTAGCTGGTGCCAGGCATTCAACACATGCTGCAATATTTTTGAACTTTAATTTATTGCATCGTTAGTAGTGTGAATAACAGCAACTTTAGGTGCTCTAATTCAAATAGGTATTTTTTTTTTTTTGTCATCATACAAATATTTTTGCACGGTTTGAGTTAGAATGGGTAAAGGGAGGGTTTGACACTACCAAATAAAATTGGACCCTCTGAAAAGAGGTAATAACAACAAGTTGGGAGATGAAGAAAAACATACATTCTATTTTTAAATATATCTGATAGTATGATTTTAGAACCCTAAAGTGTACAACTAAGAAAAACTAAGAAAAATTAGAAAAACAGTGTACCTGTGGCCACAAAAAGTATCCATAAACCATAATTATAAAAAAGTAATTTGTATTTCTATAAAAAATAAGTTGTTCTATAACTTTTTTTCTATAAATCTTGACAGTAATTTGTCCTTGGTCTGGACCAAGTTTTGAACTTTGTCTCTCGTGTGACCTAATTTGACCCCCCCGTGTTAGGGTGTTAAATTCTGACAATAAGAGTCACTTACAGTCTGGTGAGTCTAAATGTTGGAATTTGTTGCTTTGACTCCTGTCACCAAAGAGGTCTACCCAAATAAACATCATGTTTTATAATATTGGTCTTTTAAGCAAAACCAACATGTGGAGAATTGATTAAACAACTGCATCAGATAGAATATGGCTACTGATTTGAAATAGAAACATATGCACAATGTACAAGCTGCGCCTGTAATAAATAACACTAAGACACCTGGTGATGCCATGTGCCACACAAGGTGCCCCTCTTTTTACTTGCGCACCTGCCCTTGAAATANTTGTAAAACTTCCACTAGAAGCATATTTGCTATGGCTGCTGACTTAAGAGTCTTTTGATTTAGTCTAAATGGGCTCGTCAATCTAAAAATTACTACTCAAGTTTTCAATTGTTGTGTGTCCCTCATTGTATGCATGATTTCGTGTTTCTGTCATAAACTCTGAAAAGAATTTCCTTATGAGTTGTCAGCATAATAAGAAACATCTATTTTGCAAATGCCAAGTTGTAAAAATGCTCATTTAGTTGTATTTTCTTTGAGCCACCTTTTTTTTAGTAAAAGCAATGAAACATTTTGAAAAAGGGTTTCTGTCTAAGTGTTTTATTTCRTGCTTGCCCTCGTCAAAATCACTGTAGTGTGTCTCAGAAAACAAGCATTTTCAGGTATGTTTACTTCAGTTAAAAAAAGAGTGGAGCGGCACTTAAGAAGCCTTTCTAAAATGGCCAAAGCTCRTTCATCTAGGTGTCTCTTTTATGGTATACTCTAAGCAATCAAAAGGCACCCACGCACTGTAAATCAGCACATCAGGAAGCCCATTAAAAGGCAGGTCAATCCTCAAGATCAAACAGCTTTATTTGCATTGACACAACATTCTCCTGTTTGAATCATTAGGTACATGTGTGGAATAATTGCATTGTGCTATTTTACCTTTTTGTTTGTTTGTTTGTTTGTTTGTTTTTCCCCAATCCTCTCCCTTCCTTTTCTTTCCATTATCAATTTGTTCCATCACTTGGTGGAAGAGCTGGTATTTCCCTCGAGACAACATGTCATACTGCCCACTCACTACATCAGTCAGTTCCCATGTACCACCGTCACTGTCCGCCTTTGCCAGCTGCCTGCTCACAACACTTCATTTCACTTTAAATTAGAGGGCTACAGCTCTTCTTGTCCCTCATCCKTATTTTCCTCTTGGCTTCTTCATGCTTGTGTGTGATATAACGTTTTTAAGGTTTAAGAATCACTTTGGCAGTCACAATCATTCATTCACGTTTCAACTCTACACATTTTTGTTCTTTACTCTCATGACATTGACTGGGTTTTGAATTTGTCTTCTGTGTGTGAAAAGCAAAAAGAACAAAAGATGGATGGTTTGATGAATGACTGGGGGAAGACATGGTTGTGAGGATGAGTGGATGTCTCCATTGTACAGTAAGAAGACAAGACAGGATGAGGTCAGGAAAGCACAAAGAATGATGCAAAAGAGARACACAAGAAAATAACAGTGAGTCAGAAATGGGTCAGCTTATTCAGTTAGAGAACAAGAAAAAATAGGGCTTCTAAAGCATTCAATATCCTCATTGCCTCTGTTAAAGAACCTTTTTTCTTTGTCAAAAGAATGTTTTAAGTCTTGTAAATGTATGAAAGGCYAATACTTTTGATTTTTTGTGGTGATGTAATCTAATTTTGTGAACTCAAATTGAAACAGTCCACTTAAAAATATAAAACTTTCTTGAGTAATCTTAATTCAAAATCAAGGCCTTTGGTGTTAATAACACTTTTATCAGTATGTGTTGTTCCTTTGTTTTAGTTTATTTTTTTACATTGTTATTTGCCAGACAGTTTTTTGCAATTAAATACAAAACACTTCATAAATCATATAACAGTGATTCTCAATCCTGGTCTTCATCGACTCCTATCCTGAATGTTCTAGTTTCCCTGATTTGAAAGAAGGATTGATTGGCTACATGTCACATTTAGCAGGTTGCCAGTTCTCGGGTGAACACCATACATGCTGTAGCCTGGTAAAATAAAAAAAAGTTGTTCTTTGCTTTGCTTCATACAGAGGGTCTGGACTCTCACCTGTTGAAAAGTGATTGCTTGCTGGAGGCGTGGCCTCTGTTGAAGTTTTAAACGACTGGATCTGATTTTACCCAGCAGCTAACTGAAGGCTGCGATGTATGTAGTGCGCCAGCTCCGCTGTGAAGGAGGCTAAGCTAAGAGACTAAACGGAATGTGCGTGCGCTGTAAACAACCCTACTGAGAGGAGAAAAGTACCGAGCCGAACGAGACGGCTGTAAAAGAGTGCTGCAGGTTTAATTTAATTTAATTTGGAAGCCTTRTCAACATGGACTGGCTTCATTTACTTCCTCTGTATGCTAAATAACTAGCAGACACTGCGCAGAAAATCAATGTCGTTCAAAACTCCTCCTTCTGTTTGCTGATTGGCCCAGGTAAAATGCTCCCGGAGAAATCCTTGTCTATGGGAGAAATCCCAGACGGAGGAGTGGAGGGAAACTAGAATTGAGTGGAACTGCATAGGAAGGCAAGGCTACACACGCTGTGATATCGGGCAAAAAAAATTAGCAAGTTGAGTATCCTTGATTTGAGATCAGAGCAGTCCTGACGTCCTTCCGAGCCGACTAGACCACCCTAATATGATCTTTAGAGCCATCTCGATAATATGTATGTCCTTAAGATTGATGGAAGGGCAAAATCAGGCCAGAATTTTGCACAATTATCCTGCCGTGTGACGCAGGCTTTACAGAAGAGCAAGGAAACAACAAAAACATACAGGACTAGAATTGAGAACCACTGTCCTAAAATAAAATAAAAAAATAAGAAAATGAAATATTTTGGCTACAATGTGGTACATCTCTGCAACCATAAATTTGTGAGACAACTGTCAACACTCAGTATGTGCCGCCCTTGATTTTTGCGTGTTGTTGCCTCACTGACACCCATTACAACACATAACATCATTCTGAACACCCAGGATGAAACTGAGCTATTTCTCTGAGTCCGTTTTGACAGATGCCAATTTTCACAAAAGTTTTCTTTGACTGGTCTGAGTTGAGACAGGTGCAATGTGAAACTTCCTACTGGAAATTACCCCAGCAAGCCATTTGTTACAGGAAATTACAAGAGATAGAAACATTTTTTTTTCGTCTTCTTCCTGGCGGCTAACATTGTGCACAAGCTGCAACATTGTAAACCCCTGCCAAATTTGAGAATCGGCCTCGGGTTGTTCGGTCATGGCTGACTAGCATCTTGTGGTGGCCATACGGTTGYTGTACCATTGCATGTTTGCATGACAAGTCTCTGCTACTGCCACAAAGTCACTGTAGCCTTTGGATACACTTTTGATGGAGAATAAAAGCTGGGATTATTGCAACGTATTTAAAAAATCAGTTTGTGATACAAGTTCATCATATTTACTAAGAAATTCTGATAATTAATCTAATAYAGGATAAAATAAAAAGTATCTTCTGTCAAAGGAACCTGAACTGAAAATTTTTCCTAATAGATATTAATTACTGAGTTATATATTTTTATTTTATTAAATAAATTAACATGTGAAGGAAAAGGTGTTGTCACAAGTTCATGAAAAAGTACAGTAAATTATCTAAATATTCAGCATGTAGATTTGTTCAAACTGACTTCTGCAAAATCTGTTCAATCAAATTATTAAATATCGAAAGGGCTCCCCACAGTCCTCATCAACTTTGATTTGTTCAACAGTCTCTGGGAGTAAGCTCGTTGTCCTTTTACTAAATCAGTTTTTTTTTTTCAGAAACCAACTGTTTAGAATGAATAAATGTAAAAGAAAAGCTTCACTGTCCATTAAATWTGTTCTGTGTGACTCAGAAAAAAAGGTCAACAGCAATATGTTTTAAGATTATTATTCAGCTATTGCTTTGATGGCAGACAATAACTCTGTTTTAACAAATACAGAATAGGTTGTGCAGTGTGCTGTTACAAAACCCACATTTTTCAGGATGCAAGCATGTTGAGCATCAAAATAAAAYACAGCATCTGGAACATAAACCTGTCCGTGTCCATGTTGTCTCATTTCCATTAGCTGCATTAGCTCGGTGAAGCGGCTCACATTTATTTTCATTAGCACCTTTCACAGCTGTAATTAGAGAGGTCAGTTGGTTGTCTGCAGCAGGACCTCCACTCTCACCGCCCCCGACAACGGACAGAGCTAAACGCACTGAGTTACTGAAGACAAATGGGACCGGAACAAACAGATTCTCTCACATGTGTTCATTGTGCAAACAGACTAATGCTTCAACACAGCTGCGTCTCCATCATAGTGGGCGCAGACACAAGGAAGACAATCAAACCAAGAACAGGTGAATAATTGTGACTGGGTGATTATTTGAACAGGCTTTTCTAATCARTTGCATAAGGTAGGGGCGCTTTAGTCTGAATTCAAAATACTTAGCATTACGGGTTAACGTATCGATACCAAGATGAGCATTATATTGAATTGATACTAACATGATGAGACTGATTTATTTGTTTACATTCTGTTTGCACTACTGACTTTATTTTTCACAAATAAAGTGAAAAATAAAGTCTCCAAATTGTTACATCATGCCTGCGTGCAATGGAAGTTATTTTGCTGTTTTGTTATTGACATTGTTGTATTTATATATTTGATACATTGTTTTTTTTTTGTTATTTTGCACCATTTTTTCTGAAATAACTGTGTAGCAGAAGGTTAGTGAGAAATTATTATTTTTACAATTACATTGT